GCGAGGTCGTGCCGTGACTGGTGGACCCTTAGTGACTATGTAGTGTGCAACACGATCAGTGTTAAGCCCTCAATAGGTTGAGTCAACGCGGGGAATCGGGCGATCAATGTCTGGAAATCCACTGGGATATCAGGCAGTAAACCCGTGAATCGGTAAACGTCTGTTTAGGCTTTGAGACCCGTGACTTTGACATTCGACGCTAGGTTGATCAACTGCAGTCTACGTGAATCGATAAGCAATTCGTGGTACTGCAAAAAATCCATACCCAGTATTCCAGTGGGAACATTCGCAAGAACGAACGCCCACGGATACCGTCGTTGCCCTTTCAGATTGACCGTGAGTTGTCTTATTCCAGAAATAGGAATGGGAGTGCCATTCGCAGCACATAGTCGAAGCGTCGTAGCTCGTGGCTTGCTGCTACCGATAGGAACGACTGATACTCGGGCTCCGGTATCTACGAGGAACCTAGTGTTCGTGTGATGGTCACGTACGAAAAACAGACGGCTAACCTGAGGGAGCCGGCCGGCGAGTACGGCCGCTTTTACTCGCCGGCTTACCCTTTTCCCGTCGCGTAGGTGCATCAACTGAGAGCTCCTGGTCCATAGCTACGATGGAACCAGCAGCAACCTTCGGTGGGGTCATCCGAGGTTTTGGTTGGTTTGCGCGAGGGTGGCCTCTGAGGCTTTGGTTGCTTTTGGCGAACGTGGGTGGGCTGTGCTGCCCGTTCCAACATAGGCTTGGCCCTATAGGGTTCGCTGTGGGCACCGGGACTATGTCCTTGAAAGACAAACGCTGGTGTATGCAATGTGGTCGTAGCTGTGAAGGCCGTACCGCATATTCCCCTATACGGTAGCGATGTCGTGGCAACGATGAAATTATCCTTATTACCGACACGTGCAACTATCTTATCTGCAATCGACGCAGCTTTGTCGATTGAGGAATCTTCCAACAGAGCCGTTATCGTCGATTGGACTTGACGTAGCAACGAATCTAGCCACAGCTCTCTGACGATGTCAGAATGGGTGTTTGCTGGGCCGGCTAGTGAGCGTAGACGCGTCAGATGACTGCTTGGCGTCGTGTCACCGATCAGGTGACAAGCCAGCAACTGGCGTAACCTCTCTTCGTTAGAGGGGATGTAAAACTGAAGGATTGCAGCCTTCAGAACGTCGTACGCATCCTTTTCTG